TTTTTAGTCCAGAAAATAATTTTGGGAACTTGGGTGGAGGGATCAGATAGAAGGAGAATAATGTCATCCGCGAACAGGGCAATTTTCAGATCTTCCGTGCCTACACGGAGACCTGAGAATATTGTGGACGAGGCTAGAGACTGTGAGAGTGGTTCTAAAGCCAGGTTGAAGAGAAAGAGAGAGAGCGGGCATCCCTGTCTCGTTCCCTTGTGAAGGGGGAAGGGCGGGGATATGGCTGTAGAGGTGAGTATGCTGGCCATAGGTGAGGAGTACATTGTGTTGACAAAGTTCAAAAAAGTGCCATTGATACCCATGCGTCTCATTACCTTGTATAACCAATTCCAATTAACATGATCAAAAGCCTTCTCCGCATCCAAGGCCAATAGTGCCATGGAGTGCGAAGAAGACTTACCTAATCTGTGACTCTCGAGAGCTAGAAGTATCTTGCGTACATTAGTAACCGCAGCCCTGCCTGACACAAAACCCACCTGATCGGGAGAGATGAGTTTCAGGAGCAAGGCAGCCAGCCTGTTCGCTAAGATTTTAGATAACATCTTAGCATCTAAATTCAGTAATGATATTGGGCGGTAGGAGCCAGGGTGAAGCGGGTCCTTACCCTTTTTGGGTAATAGTCGTATGTAGGCCTTGTTAAAAGTGGAAGGGTAAGATTGGTTATTGAGGATATCTTGGTAGAGGGACCCCAATACTGGGGTAATGTCAGGGGAGAGCATACGATAGAATTCAGCAGAGAATCCATCAGGCCCCGGGGCCTTAGCACATGGGGAATGTTTGATGACCTCTTCTATTTCTAGAGGCGATATGTCGCGGTTGAGGGAGGCAAGATCTTCCTTGTTTAAGGAGGGTAAGGAGATGGAGTCCAGGAAGGAGGAGCCCGTACCCTCATCCCCCTGCTTATGTTTATACAGGTTTTGGTAAAAGTTTCTAAAAATTTCGCAATTCCCAAATTTGAAAAGGTCTAGGTCTTTGGGCGCTCTTATGAGCGTTTCAAGTTGGCGCAACCAGTGGTCACAGTCTTGTTTAGCTGATAACCAAGTTGCTCTAGTGATGGGTGTGGGGCCCTGTGTATACTCAAGATAGCTGCGTCTGGCTGCCGTGGTTGCTTCCACATATCTACTCCTGATCAATTTTTTTCTAGAGGTAGCATATGCAAGAATTCTTCCCCTTAAAACTGCTTTAGCAGTTTCCCAGAACAAGGCAGGGTTATCTAGGTGCTCAGATTTATCCGACGCGTCCTCATCCCACCACTGTTTAAGCTTACCCTGAAAGGTATCATCGTGTGCTAGGTAGGAAGGAAATCGCCAGATGGAGGGATGAGTAGGCGCCCCAATATTTTTAACCGTTAATAAAACAGGAGCATGATCTGAGATGACAAGATCTTCCACCTCGGCTGAGACCAGGTGAGGCAGCAGAGTTTGGGCAACAAAAAATAAGTCAATGCGTGACAGTGTTGTGAGCATGTGAAAAATGAGTAAACTCTCTGTCCAAGGGGTGTAAATACCTCCAAACGTCCTGTAAGCCTGTGGATGCAATCCATGTGGATAAGTGGATATCCTGAGGAGTAGGGCATCTCTCGGGAGCAGTCCTCTTGGGGAGTTGGTACTGCGTTGAAGTCACCCCCGATCAGGAGGGGACTGTCAGAGTGTCAGGAGGAGAGCCTTGTGGCCAAGACATCGAGGAACGACTTGTTGCTATTGTTAGGGCCATAGATATTCCAAAGTTTGCTTTCCCAGTTGAAGCGTCAGGAAGGACCATCTGCCTGCTTCATTATCGCACTGATGATCAATGACGGAGTGTGGTAAGGACTTGCTGATGAGCGTGATGACCCCCGCCTTTCTGCCTGAAGCCGAGGCTCCTATGGCGGTGCCCACCCAGGATTGATGCATACGGAATATGTCCGTGTCTTTGAGATTAGTTTCTTGTAGGAGCGCTATATCTACTTTCAGTTGTTTAAGGTGATGAAGGATCCGGCGTCGTTTGCTGGGTGATTTTAGTCCCTTAACGTTCCATGTGACTATGTTCAGGGTGGATCCCATATGTGTAGCGGAGCATCATGGAATGCATAAGGAAGCATGAAGGCATATTGGAGAGGTACACTTCTGGGTGTCCCAGTGCCCCCGAAGTTACCATTTAGTGTAGTCCCAGGTGAGAGAGAGGTCTTCAATAAGGACCGGAGAACCTCCCATTTGGAGTCATCGGGCAGGTGTTGACCCTCGAGGTGAAGAGTGCATGGTAGTTCGATGAAACTCAGGTGAATGCGAACTTGAGCAAACAAAAGTGGTAAACAGTCAAAGGTAACTTGAAGAGCAACAAAAAAAAATAACGTCCAGGAGTACGTACTTCCTTTTTTCCTAATGTGAACGGTCATAGGCCGACTGCAGGTGGGGATAACTGTGCTACCCACAAAGCCAGTCAGCAACAGGTTCGAGCAAGTGGAGGGATGAGGCGTCCCCGTCCCGTCCCCCGGTGTTACATCGGGCGCACTTTTCCCGCACTGTGCAGCAATAAGTGGGGAGCCTTTCAAGTAAAAAGTAGGGAACAGTGCAAGGTGTGCAGGTAAGCGTTTGTATCCAGAGCACCAGGTGCAGTTTAGCACCAGCCAGTAGAGAAAGAAATAGCCACCGTGCAGCTAGGAGTTGATCATGCTTTTTTCTTCCTTGGAGGACTTTTCATCGGGGAAGAGGATGTTGGCGCATCCCAGGAATCCAGGAATCTCTGAGCTTGGGTGGCTGAGGTGAAACTCCAAGCCTTGCCGTCGGTGGTATTGAAGCGTAGTATTGCAGGGTATTGAAACGCAAACGTAATACGTTTGTGAACCAACGCCTGGCATACGTCATTAAATGTTTTCCTTACTTTGGTCGTTGCAGCAGAGTAATCCGCAAATAGAAGTAGTGGCAGGCCATCCACTACCAGGTTGCGTTGCGTGCGATACACTTGGAAGATAGATTGCTTGTCATAATAGTCTAGATAACGTACTATGACTGGCCTCGGCTTGTTATCATCTCTGGGTGGTCCTAGTCTGTGCGCCCTTTCCACCCTACAAAGGTCAGTTAGGCCCAAAGCTTTGGGTATTATTGTAGAGCAATAGTGACGCAAATCAATAGGTTTCACCACTTCTGGGATGCCTATGATTCTCAGATTGTTACGGCGCGATCTATTCTCTAAGTCCTCCACCTTATCTTGTAACGCATGTAGTTGGGTAGTGATAGCTGTATTATTGCGCTGCGAATCGACTGCATGGTCTTCCAATTCGCTTACCCGCTGTTCCACGACTTGCATGCGTTGCGACTGGGCCTCTAGGGTGGCATTCACTTTACCCATGTGGAGCTGTAAAGTGTCAGCAATTATAGCCACCATATCAGCTTTCAGGCATTTAGTGACTTCAGCTGCTATTTGCCTGTAATCCAGGGCTGGGAGCGTTGGTGTTAGCTGTAATGACTCACCCTCTGCAGCCTCGTGTGTGTCTTCCTGCTGCATAGTCTCAGGCGCCTTGTTGGATGTGGCACTGTCGTCTAAGAGAGGGTTCGTTAGTGACCTGTGGGCCTTCGGCTGGCGATCGAGATAGCGATCCATGGTCGGGTAAGTATCGGGGCTGAACTGGCTGTCAGCTGTGGTCGGATGGTGCTCCGGGACGAAGTCGTATCGAGGTAACTGGACGGAGCTCGGGGCCGCTCGTCTACCTCATTAGGCGCTAAACTAACTCTTTAGACTGCAGTACTGGTGGTGTGCTGGTGACATTTATTTATCTTTATTCTGTTGGAGATATTTCCCGTTAGTTATTGTCCAAGGGACAACTTTTTGACCAGACAAAAAGTGAAGAAAACACTCAAACAACAACATAGACAAATCTCTCTAATAGAGTCCCATACAGCAGTAAAGCATGACAGAGGTTCTAACCCTTCCCCACTGTATCAAAAACTAGAAAGAAATAGTAATAAAATAGCGATGGCAACAGTTTAATATATTCATTATCATGTAATGTAATTAGACAGCAGAACGTCTTGTGCTACTGTCTTGACAATGCTTTTTCTACATTTCCTGTGTACAGTGTATTACGATGCTGTCATATTTGCTCTTACTTTAATTGTGCAGGGAGAACTTTCTTACAGTTCTACAGTTAACCTTACTGTCTCTGAAGTGTTGACCTCTGAAAGCAATCAGTACACGTATTTGGTCAAAATGACTCCTGGATATTTACTGCATATCATTAGTTGCAGTGTAAGAGACAGGAGTATAAATGGAAATCATGCCAGGTGTCAGTGCCAGGGCTAATGAAAGTCAAGTTTCAAACTCAAAACTTATAGCAGGGCCAAACTATGTCAAACTATGTAATTCCAAAATAGCAAAAGTATGGACTCTGGTGCCATTTTGTAGGGAGGATGACCAGTCAAGATATGTGCCAGTTCTCACTACAATAGGTAAAACATTGGCCCTATGAGAATAAATAAAGCAAATGTGCATATGGTGTGAGTGGAATCCCACTGGATTATGGAAAGCACAAGACCCATGGGAGGCTACAGCAAAGGAAGCAACAGGAGCAGGTATGCAGGAAGTGTCAGGAAGAACTAGAGAGAAAGCTGCCAAGGAAGAAAGGGGAGGACTCGCAGGGGAGTCCTTACACTGGCCAGGCTGAACCCTGGCTGGCAGATTGATACCCAGATATGCTGATGTTTATTGTCTGGCTGTACCCATGTAGCAGTCCTGAGATAAGAGTGGACCTTTTCCTACCTATCATCCATGCACGCTCTTTAGATTAGATGTTTATAGGCATTATTAATTGTGATAATGAAAGCCTTTACTTTTTGACTGTATTCTGTAGGGTGACCCTTGTAAGTTTTAACTCTGATAACTCATGTTTCTTATTAAGTTGCATTTTTATAATAAAACAGATTTTTTTAGAAATGTTAGCAAAAACAGTTTTATTGTATTATAATGGGTTTTTTTTTTAGCAGTTACAGTGTTTCCATGGTTGTGTTTTATAGGTGGCCACACAGTTGGAAAGCAAAGTCAGCAAACTCAATGACCAGCTACAGCACCAAGCCGATCTGCACCAAGAGGCAATGCTTAGAGCCAAGAAAGCAGAGCAGCATCTACAGGAACTGCGATCACAGCTAAAAGTGGCTGAAGGAGAACTTGTGTCGGGAGACGTCAGGCGTGACAATCTCAGTTATGAGAAGCAGAAGGTAAGACGGTTTTAGTCATTTCATTATTTCCAGTATTTAAGCCATGCCTACACACACATACGCATGCCTAATTCCCTGGAAATAATTTTTCATCCAATTACATAACCTAACCTGACTGGTGTGTCAAAGGTTATATAAGAAGCAGAACTGCTTCCTGAAGAGTAAAAAAGGCTCTTTTCTAAAGAAGTAGCTGGGAGGTAATGGAGAGGTAGCTCCTGTCTGTCAAGGCAGATGCTACTGCTGCCACCTGCCTATCCTCCCTTTTAATTTTGTTTCCAATTTTTTATCATTAATATTTTTCCCAAAAACTTTCAGGGCCACTGCATTTCTATTCACATAGGGTATTCCACGTCAAACTGTAATACTAGATATTGTGAGCAGATCACAAGGCAGATTTCATTTATTGTGGTGGGTTGCTTTTGCCATATTGTTTGAGCCATGGTTTAGGAACGGATATTTAGGAACGGACAAGGGAGGGGGCGGGCACAGCTGGCTCTGCCTCTAGATAGGCAGAGCCAGCTGTCACTCACAGTAATGTCGGGATCCGTCCCGGCTGCAGCGCTTACAGTATATCCCGAGCAATAGCCCGCGATATACTGAGAATTGGGTCACGGAAGGACGCTAGTATATGTCCTCTTGTGACCCTAAAGAATTTAGGGTACAACACTTACCCCATAGTTCTCTTTTAATGATCCTGGCCCTTTGCTGCAGGGAGCACTGGAGGTGCTTACTGATTTTTCCACAGTGTCTGGTCTACGTGTTAATTGGTATAAGATCCTCGCTCTTCCGTTTTGATGAGGAAGCTAGGAGGGTCCCAAGAGCACTATCTCAACTACAATCGGTTGACACTTTCACTTATTTGGGCATAGTGGTTTCTAGGTCGCCAAAGGAATTCCAGGATTTGAACCAATTGCCTGCACTGCAGGAGGTGAGGCTAAGGCTGAAGGCATGGGGCAATCTACCTCTTAGCCTTTTGGGGAGAGTAAATCTCATTAAAATGAAGATTCTTTCTAAATTAACATATCTCTTTCGCAATTGTCCTATATGGATCCCCAAAACTTATTGTCAGCCTCTTAAACAGCTAATTTCTTCCTTCCTGTGGGGATCCCATCGGCCAAGATATACATTTTCTACTGAAAACTGACGTACAGTCTTTGGTTTGGCTCTACCCAATTTTCACAAATATTTTCTTGTCACCCAGTTGGTGACTGCTCATTGGTGGTTGTCATCAGTTACTAACAACTCCTCGGTCATGCTGGAGGCTGCTATACTGAATTCTTTGGAAGCTCTGTGGAGTCTATTGCTTAGGGGGCCACAAGTTCCCCACACTCTAACTTCATCCATGCTTACTACCATCAAGGTGTGGAAGATTGGGATGTCATGGTGTCCCCAATGCACTAGAGGCTTGTCGCCTCATATTCACTCATGGAAAAATCCACACTTGCCACACTTTTATACTCTGCCAGACCCTCACTTCTGGGTGAAGCATAGAATTAAATTGTTGCCAGATATACTTTGTGACAACAAGTTAATGCCCTTTGAGAAGTTAACTCGAAAGTATTTGATCCCACCCTCCCATTATTTTCATTACATACAACTCTCTCATGCCTTAATTTCTCAGATTCTTAGTCGTGCTATTCAGATAGTACATCATTTTAGTCTCTTGCTAGGGAGCAATATCTCTCAAAAGCTGTCTCCTGCTTTTACCATCTGCTAAAGGCCCTAACTATTTCAAATCTTACCAATCTACAAGCCAAATGGACTGCTGACATTCCAGATTTGAATGGTGTGGATTGGCAAGAGGTCTGGGATACACTGTTTAAACACCTGGTTGTGGTGAGAGATAAGAGGATTCAATTTAAATTGCTGCACAGAGCCAACTTCACTCCGCATTGTTTACAGGTGAAACTCGAATAATTAGAATATCGTGCAAAAGTAATTGCAGTAAGTGCTGCAAAAGGGGCCCAAACCAAGTACTGAGTACATATGCATGCTTGTACTTTTCAGAGGTCCGATATTGTTCTATGTACAATCCTTGTTTTATTGATTGCATGTAATAATCTACTTTTTTGAGGTTGTGGATTTGGGGTTCTTGGGGTTTTCATGAGCTGTAAGCCATAATCATCACAATTATGACAAATCACGGCTTGAATTATATTGCTTTGCATGTAATGAGTCTATCTCATATATTAGTTTCACCTTTTAAGTTGCATTAGTGAAATAAATGAACTTTGCACGATATTCTAATTATTCGAGTTTCACCTGTATATAGGCTTAAAGGAGAACTATAATGTGAATGATTTCCACTCATCCTCATAGTTAGAGCCGACCTGTGACAAATAAGCTGCCACAGGTCGCTCGCTCACTTTCCGATCATCTCCATGCAGTCACCGCTCCATTCATGGATTCCTCCCTCCCCTCTCCGATCCTCCAGCGTTGAGTGGAGGAATGAACAGGGGAGGGGGCGGGCACAGCTGGCCCTGCCTCTAGATAGGCAGAGCCAGATGTCACTCATGCAGCTGGGTGGATCTTGACAGTATTGTCGGGATCCTTCCCGGCTGAGGCGCTCTCAGTATATCGCGCGTAATAGCCAGATACTGAAAATTGGAATTAGGTCACAGAGGAGGTTAGTATATGTCTTCCATGGACCCTAAAGAGAACTATGGGGAAAAACACTTACCCCATAGTTGTCTTTAACCATACTATCACTTCAGCCTGCTGGATGTGCGGATATCCCACAGGAGTCTTTTTTCACATCTTTTGGACTTGCTCATTGATTGCTTCCTACTGGCAGGAGGTTGTAGAGTATGTACTCCTAGTTACGTCCCTTAATTTAATCTCATCACCAAAATTATACTTATTGAGATTGATGGAGGAGCTGGCCACTATTAATGGCAAACAAACTCTTCTCACCTTACTATTTTTCAATAGCGATGTATTGGAAGAAACCTACCCCTCCTACTATGAAGTTTTGGAAGAAATTGGTGAATTAAAATTTGCCTTTATACCAGGACACTTATTATAATAGAGGTTGTGCCACTAAATTTTATAAAGTGTTTGGATGTTTGGATAGAACTCTGAAATTCAGCTTTTGACTTTGACACCTAATACTCATTTTTGGCAGTTCTTATATGATTGCCCTCTAAATGTGTTTCTTCACAGTTGCGTGAGCCAACGTGGGGAGATACCCTGCTTCTAGTTTAATCTCAGGTTATTGTACTGTTTGTTCTGTTGTGTACTTTGTTTTGTATTGCATTAATATAAATAAATACATTTCTTAAATAGAACTAGAAAGTAAGGGCAGTTCTTCATAGACGTCTCTGAAAGGTACCTCATTTTAACTTTAAGTGGTCACCTATCAAAAGCCTAAACTTTAAGTTATGGGATGAAAGTGCCAACTTTTAGAAAATAGGTACAAACGTGTACACAAATTTCTAACAAAGGTTCTATTTGATTCCGTTAAAAGTATATTTGAGACAAAACAAATATTACAAATGTCTATTACTTCCTGATTGATTTATAATCTATTATACACATATATTATCTACATATAACTGTAAAGGCATATTTTCAGCAGCCTTTTCTCCAGTTTCCCAATAGTACAACTTTATACTATTAGCTGAAGTCAGTATTAACATGCTTCTAAGTTATGCAAAATCTATTTTGATAAAGAAACGGAAAGCAAGAGTACTGTCTATAATGGGTTGGATGACACATTTGCCTGATCTAAACCTTATCAAGCTTTTGTGGGAAGAGCTTTACCACAAGTTGAGAGAAAAACTCCTTACAAGCTAGTCATACCTCTGGGAAGAGCTGCAGAAGGCGTGGGTTGACTTTTACCCTGTTTATATTTAAAAACTAGAATGCTAAAGGTCTGCAAAGCTGAGGATTCTTTGATGAATGTAAAGTTTCATAAATAGAACAGTTATAGGAAAAAAGAATGTTATGACCACATTCATATATTGATTATCACTGGGCTCTGCAGTAAAGATGATGATTGTAACATCTCAGATAAGCACATATTGTAGGTGAACCTTTTAGTGGCTTCAGATTGTTATAGAAAATATCACAAGACATCTTTCAGAAGTATGGAAATAATGCTCTAACTTCCTATCTGTTTTTTTATATAGTTTTGGACAATTAAACTTACAAAGATTACACGGCCAGATTGTAACATGCAGGGTGAGATTTACATTGCTGCTGTAGTCACACTCTACAAATTGTTAGCAAAACCAGAGTTTCCCTTCAAATAATATGCTTTCGGCTGACTTTTGACCCATTTTCCTATCTGATCATATATTTTGTTTGATTCATCTGAATAGTGATGAGCGATGTTTTTCCATATATGTAAATTCCTCATCAACTGAACATTTCACTTATCAGGCACAAGTAATTTATATTGGAGATAAAGAGATATGGCATGCTACTGTTTTATTTCAGCAGACACCTTCCAACTTATTTCTGCATAGCTCACTTTTCTAACTCTGGCACTTTCAACAGTACATGAAGTTCTTGGAGCACCTGTCTGAAAAGATGAGGTTGGACAGAATAACTGCTGATGTAGGTTTTGACATGCGTCTGGATGTCATCCTTGCCCGTGCAGATCAGTTGGTCAAACTGGAATCAGACGCTGTCGTTGAGAAGAAGACGCTTGCACATGGTCTGCAAAGAAAGGTAAATGTCACTGAAGTTGAACAATCATTGTGCACAGTTTTCATTAGATCTCTGTGACATTAATTTTTGTGACATACTGAAGCATCATATGTTGCTTTCACTGCTGCTATAATCATTAAATTAGTATAGCTCCTGTTGCCAATGCTACTACAATGTGCTATGATTGCATGATATGTTTTCAATACATCTTTCTATTGAGTCTTGACAGTTTTTAATTTATAGTGTTTAACTTATTAAAGTGTCATTTTGTACAATTTGTATTATGTACCTACAACCTGTTTGTTGCTGTAATGTTCAATACTGCAGGCCTTAAAGCAGAAACTGAAATTACAGTTATTACTTCTTAGTGTATGCAGTCAGTAAATTTTGCTGATCTGATAGATTAAATAGAATGCATGTAGCTTGCATTACAAGAACAATTATGGCAAGTAGCATGGTATGTCGGTAAAAGCATTGGGTCAATGCTTATTTATTTGATGTAATGCATTTTTTCTTGAAAGCATACTTAAACCCAAGAACAAAAAAGTATTGCAGCTGACTAGTCCCTAAAGGTATATTACATTCAAAGGGTTTTTAAGCTATTTCAAATGCTTATTAAATCACTTCCAATAGATGCTCCTTGACATAGGCGTGCGCAGTCTATTGCATTTGGGTGTGCACACAAAATTACAAACACACACACACACAATATAAGGTTTAGGAGTGTGTCTATGGGAATGTTTGACCATTCTTCCAGAAGCACATTTGTGAGGTCAGGTACTGATGTTGGACGAGAAGGCCGAGCTCGCAGTCTCCACTCTAATTCATCCCAAAGGTGTTCTATCGGGTTGAGGTCAGGACTCTGCGCAGGCCAGTCAAGTTCCTCCACCTCAAACTCGCTCATCCATGTCTTTATGGACCTTGCTTTGTACACTGGTGAGCAGTCATGTTGGAACAGGAAGGGGCCATCCTCAAACTGTTCTCACAAAGTTGGAAGTATTACATTTTCCAAAATATCTTGGTATGCTGATGGCTTAAGAGTTCCCTTCACTGGAACGAAGGGGCCAAGCCCAACACATGAAAAACAACCCCACACCATAATCCCCCCTCCACCAAACTTTACGCTTGGCACAATGCAGTCAGGCAAGTACCGTTCTCCTGGCAATTGCCAAACCCAGACACGTCCATCGGATTGCCAGACAGAGAAGCATGATTCGTCACTCCAGAAAACACGTCTCCACTTCTCTATAAACCAGTGGTGGCGTGCTTTACACCACTGCATCCGACGCTTTGCATTGCACTTGGTGATGTAAGGCTTGGATGCAGCTGCTCGGCCATGGAAACACATTCCATGAAGCTCTCTATGCACTGTTGTTGTGCCAATCTGAAGACCACACGAATTTTGGGGGTCTGTAGCTATTGACTCTGCAGACAGTTGGCAACTTCTGCACACTGTGCTCTTCCGCATGTGCTGACCCCACTCTGTCATTTTACATGAGCTACCACTTCATGGTTGAGTTGCTGTTGTTCTCAGTTGCTTCCACTTTGTTATAATACCACTAACAGTTGACCGTGGAATATTTAGTAGCAAGGACATTTCATGGATGGACTTATTACACAGGTGGCAACCTATCACTGTACCACGCTTGAATTCACGGAGCTCCTGAGAGCGATCCGTTCTTTCACAAATGTTTGTAGAAGCAGTCTGCATGCCTAGGTGTTTGATTTTATACAGCTGTGGCCATGGAGGTGATTTGAACACTTGAATCCAATGTTTTGGAGGGTTGTCCCAATACATTTGGCAATATAGTGTATATATATTTATATATATTGTAACAAGGACACTCCACTGTAGTCCAGGTAAGTCAAGTATAATGCAGTTTATTAAAGGGCAAACACAAAATAGCTTGCAGCAGCAGCAACATAAGACAGTTCTTTATATGGCTCCGTAGCTTTCCACAGCTTCAAGACACCCACGCTTCTCACCCCTCGTGAGCCCTCACTCTGCTCTCTTAGCAGTGTGTACCACAGGTCCTAGGGTCAACGACCTTCCTGACCTCTCCCCTCTTGGGCACTCGCTCTGCTCTCCCAGCAGTGCGTCCGTCAGGTCCCTGGGGTCACCGACCTTCCTGACCTCTCCCAGCCACCCCTGGCTGTTCTGTGTGCGTCCAGCACGCACCCAAGTTTGTCAGTGTCCGTGTGCTCCCTGCACACCCACAACTCCAACACTCCCCTGAGCACTGGGCTGGCTTCCTGATAAGGCTGCTCTCAGCCACCTGATTAGCCCAGGCTGGTCAATGGCAACACCTGGCCCCAGGACTGGAGATCTCATCCCACCCAGAGCTCTACGAAATCTCCAGAGCTC